GTGGCGGCGGTGGCGGCGGCGGCGGTGGCGGTAGCGGCAGCGGCGGCTGCGGCGGCGGCGGCGGCAGCGGCGGCGGCGGCGGCGGGCGGCGGGGCGGCGGTGGCGGCGGCGGTGGCGGCAGCGGATTGGCCCCCAGTAGCTACCCATCCCAAGACGACTGCTGAATATGCTGAGGCCCGGGGGTCAGACTCGGGTGCTACGTATGTGTTGGGAGGGCGGGTGGGAGTGAGCGAGACGGCTTGCGGGCGGGGGGGGTGTCTTGATCACTGTTCCCTATTAATAAACACCCCCTCCCCCAGGCGACTGGGGGCCAACCAGGGTCCATGCCGACACCCCCCACCATCCCTTGTAAAAAAACAATACAAAACACACTCTGCCTCCAAATTCGGAACATGCGCAGCCAACCCGATGCGGCCCCCCCCCACCATCCCTGTCAAAAAAACAGTACAGAGTACACTTGGCGGCGGCGGCGGCTGCGGCGGCTGCGGCGGCGGTGGCGGCGGCTGCGGCGGCTGCGGCGGCGGCGGTTGCGGCGGCGGGCGGTTTGGCAGCGGGGGGCCGCGGCGGCGGCGGTGGCGGCGGCGGCGGCGGCGGCGGCGGCGGCGGCGGCTGAGGCGGCGGCGGCGGCGGCGGCGGCGACAGGCGACAGGCGACAGGCGGCGGCGGCGGCGGCGGCGGCGGCGGCGGCGGCGGATTGGCCCCCAGTAGCTGCCCATCCCAAGACGACTGCTGAATATGCTGAGGCTCGGGCCAGACTCGGGTGCTACGTATGTGTTGGGAGGGCGGGTGGGTGTGAGCGAGACGGCTTGTTGGCGGGGAAGGGGTAACTTGACCCCTCCCCCATACCCCCTCCCGTAGACCTGGAGCGGGGGGGGGCGCGAGGTGTCCGGGGGTCCAAAACGGCCTCGGCGAGGAAGCCAAAATCATCGATTTTATTACGGTTTGGGCCCAATTTTGGCCTCTAGGGGGGGGGGCGCTAATGAAACTCCCCGACCCCCCCTCCTGTGATCGATTTCGCCCAAGATGGCCCACAGATGGCCCCCAACCCCAAGGTTCCCAAGGGTGCCCCAAGAGGGCCCCAAGAGGTGGCCAGGAAGCCCCAAGGGGCCCCCAGGAGGCCCCCAGGAGGCCCCCAAGAGGCCCCCACGAGACCTCCAAGAGACTTCCAAGAGGCCCCAAAAGGTCCCCAGAGGCACCCGAGACGCTCCAAGAGGTCCCGGCGACAATGCCGAAATCGCTGATTGTATTAAGGTTTTGGCCACATTTGGGCCTCCTGGGGAGGGGCATTGCCTCAGATGGCTCCAAGAGCGCCTGGGAGAGCCAAAGATGATATCCAAGATGGTTCCAGATATCCCAAGATGCCTCAAGATGGCGCCCACGATGCTCCAAGAGGCCCCAAGACCGCTCCAAGACGGCTCCAAGTGGCCAAAGAGCTCCCCCAGGAGGCCCTGAAGATGCCAAAATCCTTCCAAAACCTTTGGGGAATCAATGTTTGTGGTTTTCTCGCCGAGGCCTCAAGCTGGCTCCAGTTAGCCCAAGATGGCTCCAAGAGCGCTCCCAAGGCTCCCAAGAGCGCTTCAAGAGGGCCCCAAGAGGCGTCCAGGAGGCCCCAACAGCCGCCCAAGAGGCCTCCAAGAGGCTCCCAAGATACCCCCAAGAGGCCCCAAGAAGTTCTCCGAGGCACCCAAGACGCTCTAAGAGGCGCCCGGGACCGCCAAGGGCCGCCAAGACTTGCCAAGGGACCCGTCCTCTGTGTGCTGCCCGCTTCCCTGATCGAGGCAATTCCTTTGGGCATCGTTTCTGGATGGGCTGGTGGGGATTCGCGAAGCGTCAACAATTCGTCCGTTAATGTGGTTCCGCCCCTCTCCCCCCCTCCCAAGCAGAGCTCAAGCTCATGCTGAAGCAGAGCTTCAGTTTAGACTTCTTAAACTCACACGCCGGATCGGCGGATATATTGAGAGATATTGTAAGATAGCGTGTTTTCGCTTAGCTTGGTGGCCCCGCAGCGTGTTGGCGGAAATCATTGCGTGGGACAGATAAGATCTTTCGTCAACCGCAGCTTCGAACGATGTGAGATTGCCTCCGGCCAGGATTATTACGATGGCCCTACATGTTCAATCCACTGTAAAACAATCGAAGCAGCACTTTGTATGAGTGTGCACACTCCGGTGCTGAGAAAGTTCGCGTGGAGCTGCTTGCAGTTCTCTGACCGCGATGGCAATTCCAGCCAGAGAACCCTGGTAGCCAGAGATTTCCAGATTTGATTAAGTGCATGGTCAGGAGGAATCGCCGAACACACTCCAGCAAACCCTGAGGAGGCACACATAGTTCGGTTTGTGCCGCAGGAAATGAGGTCGATAAACGCTGACCTGATACGAGCTGGCATTAGAAGGTGATTGCGCAAGACCCTTCCCATGCTTCGATCCAAAGTTGGTGTTCGGCGAAGGTTAAGTGACAGCGTGATCATACTGGCGCGACTGTTAGTTTGGAAGTTACAGCTTCAAAGTGTAATGCCGATTCCGCAGCATCAGTGTGTACACATGTAGGTTTGTCAAAATCTTACGCGTTGCACCCGTACAACATTGTTGTCCTATGCAGATGTTTGCACGTATGGTGATGCCCACAGGCTCATCATGCGTCCACGTGTGTGTGTGTGTGTGCATGGCAATGTTTCTACGTGTGTACATCGGTATGTTATTGCGACAGTTCAACTCGATTCGACGATAACGCGCTTCAGAGCGAACGCGCCGAGGTTGGACCCATCAGTCTTATCCGCTTGCCGGTGCGCGCCTTGGTTTATTCATGTTGTTGATGTAGTTCGCATCAGTGCCTTGCCGGCAACATGTGCACAGCAAATTGCATTTGCGGGTTCATGTTATCCACTATGGCGAAGACCAGGTTGGCTATTAGGAAATTGAGCCAGCAAGTTTGGAAGTGTTGTGTTTCTGCGTGGTCATGTTTTCCCTCTCTGCCGCACTCCTACCACGGATGTTTTCTCTCCTTCCTCTGATGTTTCATATCCCCTCTGCCTCCACCTGGGGACCCCATGGGGGTTAGTCGGTTTCATGGCAGGAGTTGTCGCGTGGGAGGGGCCCTAAACAGGCCCAGGAAGGGCGTACGAACGCTTATCTGGGGTCTTCGGTGGAGCTCCCTTTGGGGCCACGAAGCGCGCGAGGGGTGTGCCGAAACGGGCGTGACGCCCACATGCGAACGCTCCCACTGGGGCCTTCGGGCCTTCGATGAAGCTCCCTATGGGGCCATGAAGCGCGTGAGGGCTGCGCCGAAACCGGCTTGACGCCCGCGTGCGACGGCTCCCTCTGGGGTCTTCGGTGGAGCCCCATATGAGGCCACGAAGCGTGTGAGGGGTGTGCCGAAACGGGCGTGACGCCCACATGCGAATGCTCTTTTTGCGGGCCATCCGGTGGGGCTCCACATGGGGCGCGTGAGGGGTGTGCCGAAACGGGCGTGACGTCCTCATACGAACGCTCCCACTGGGGCCTTCGGTGGAGCTCCCTATGGTGGGGCCACGAAGCGCGTGAGGGGTGCGCCGAGACGGTGCGATGCCCACATGCGAACGTCGCTACTGGGGCTTGCGGCGGAGCTCCCTCATGGGGCCGCGAACCTTCTTTTGAGGCTTTGGTGGAGCTCCCTATGGGGCTAGTAAACGCGTGGGGGGGGCATGCCGAAACGGGCGCGAGGTCCACATGCGAATGTCCACGTTGGTTCTTTCGGTGGAGCTCCCTATGGGGCCACGAAGCGCTTGAGGGGTGCGCCGACATGGTTGTGACGCCCACATGCGAACTTCCCTCTGGGGTCTTCGGTGGAGGTCCCTAATGGTGCCACGAAGCGCGTGAGGGGCGTGCCGAAACCATTGACATGCGGAGGGCAGAGGCGGGGATGGCAGGATGGAGGAGAGGCAGGAAGAGAGGAGAGAGGACAGAGAAGGACGCAGGGCACTGACTCTTTAAAACGAGGTCCCAACATGTATTAGGAACAGCGCCCCGTCTCTGCCATCCCACCGACTGGTGGGGTGGCTCAGGGCCTCGATCTTGGATTAGCCTGCGCATCTCTGAGGCTGTAAGCATGGAGGGGTAACGTAAGGAAGTAGGAGAAGGACCAGCAGGAGCGGGAGGAGGAGGAGGACTGGACTGGACTGGACTGGACTGGACTGGACTGGACTGGACTGGAGGAGGAGGAGGAGGAGGAGGAGGAGGAGGAGGAGGAGGAGGAGTTGCAGGAGGAGGAGGAGGAGGAGGAGGAGGAGGAGCGAGGGCCAGCCCCAACCCGCTCGAAAAGCCAATCCCCCAGGCCCCTCTGGGGGGGGGGGGGGGCACTTTGGTCAGATCTTTGGTTTGCGGCCAGCCGCAGCGACGAGAACCACCAGAAACACGCACCAACCTTTCCGAATCGACACCTTCGAAACGAAGAAGCGTGGCCAGGACCCCCCACGGCGTGCTCACTGTCCATTGACTCAGTCCTCCAGGGCAGGGGCCTCGACGCCCTCCCCGGGGCCGGCGCTCCCTCCCGAGCGTCTGCTCCTCTGGGCCCGGATCCAGGGCACCCGCGGAGGCCGAAGCGTGCCCAGAGCTGCCCGTCGTGGTTTTGGGCGCGGCGGCGAGCGTGCCGTCGCCCGGGCTGCCGCACGCGGGCGCGAGTGAGGGGCGGCAGCGGCGACGAGCAGCCAGGCGAGGGGAGGCGACGGGCCGACGGCAGCCGAAGCACAATGGGGCAGGGAGGCGAGAGGGGAGGGCGGCGGGTGCGGGTCCGCTTTCAGGAGTCCACCTCCCGACCTCTGCTGAGGTGGGGATCCAGCCGGGGCGACGAGGGGCCTCTCGGAGACCCAGAATTCGCGTCTCAACCAACCATGCACGGTAGGTTCGTGTCGTGTCGACCAGCGGCGACCCCGCCAGCGCCGTTCAACGTTGAACGCCGCGGGTGACCCAGAATCGTTCGTCGTTCGATGTGGAACGAGTTGGACGTTTCGGAAACGGCCGATCTTTCAAGGTTGAACGATCCCCGCGGTGACAGAAACCAACGCCGAAGTCGGCACGACACGAACCTGCCGTAGTGATTTGCGATTTGAAATTTATGTGGCGTCGCGAACACCTGAAACTTCGGAAGGGTCCAGATCACGCCTGGGACTGAAATGGGTTCGGAGAGCTCGTGGGGTTGGCTCCAGCGCGCTTCCGGCGCATTCCTGGGAGGTTTCATGGATCTGGAGCGTTTCCTGGCAGGTTCCGGGCTCCTGAGAGGGTTCATGGGAGATCCTACGGGCAGCTGCGCGATTCCTGAAAGGGTTCATGCATCCTGGAGTTCCTGGAGTGCCCCAGGTGGAGCCCAGAGATGCCCGGGGGGGGGGTACTTCGAGGACCGAGGTCTGCGGCGAAGGCCTCGAGTCTCGCAGTCCGATCCTCGGAGCCTCCGCCCCGCCCCCAGATGCTCTTCCAGGCCGCGCTGAGGGAGGCCCGGGACCGGCTGAGCTCCTTGCTGGCGCCGGCCGTGCCGAGGGAGGCCCGGCCCCGTGCGCGAGCGCCGCTCAGCCGCGCGTGGTAGCGCCGAAGCCCCTCGTCCGCGCGTTGCGGCGGCCCCCCAGACCCCTTCGGGTCATGCACAGATTCACTACGGGAGGTGTTTCGCATGTTCGGCATATGGGAGCCTTTACCCCAGTCGTGCAGAGGCGAATAGAAGCTTTGTGGCGGACGCTTTATGGCCATACCGCTGGGGAAACGATATACTACAAGATTTCTGTTCTGTGTGTTCTGGTCGGACGCGCGCCTCAAAGGAGGACACATGGTACCAGTATGTCCTTGTGCGCCCCAGTACACCAGGCTTCGGGAGGGTCAGAAAGCGACTCGGGATGAGAAACCGGTCCTGGGCACTGGGTCGAGAGTTCTGGGGGTTGACGTTATGAACAAATCATGACGTCGGGGGTTTGGGCAGGCAGGGGAGAGCAGGCGCGTGGAAGGGAGGAGAGGGGAGGGGGGAGGGGGAAAAGGGAGGGAGGGGGGATGGGAGAGGGCGAGGCAGAAGGCAGGTAGCGAAGCCACCACGGTCGAGCCCCGAGGTTCGAGCTTTGAGGATCGAGGTTTTCGGGCGTCTTTCGCCCTGTGGGCATCCGGAAGGCCTCTCGTCTCCACGGATGGATCTGCCTCGACGTTCTGGCCAGAACGTGCTCCAGGAGAGGTCCAGAGAAGGATTTTCACCGACATGTACATGCCGCATCGTGCTGCGCAGAAGTCACGACGAAGGGGGGGGGACAAGTTTCGGTCTCCGGGCGGCCCGAAGGACCATTCGGTATAAGAACCAACCCAGGGAAGGTTGTCGAGACTTGCGCGAGCCGACGTTGTGAAGCATCCAGGTGTCGGTGGGGTGGGGATGAATTGCATGGGCACTGTCTGGTTGGACTACGAGGTCGGTCCTGCAAAGTGAAGGGCACCTTGTTTCTGCCTCGCGCTTCGTGTCGCCGTCATGTATGGAGCATCTGCCGACCTCGCAAGAGTCTTGTGTCCCTTCGGGCGTCCCCTGTCAGTCCCGACTGTAGGAGCCAAGCTGCTCAGAGCTTCCGAAGCCTACGCTGGGCAGCCTGATGGCCTCCACACGTCGGAGGCTTCAGAGGCGATCTCTTGCCCAGGGTGCCACAGCTTTCCGCGCCCCTTTGGTGCCCCAGCTGCCCACGGCGCCTTGGCGCTCCAGTTTTCTGCGTCACTTGAGTGCCCCAGCTTTCCGCGCCGGGCTGGGGCTTAGTCGGGGTGATCTGGAGGCCATCTGGGCCTCGCTGGAAGAGCTGGAGCCACCTTGAGCAAGGGCCATCTCTGGCAGCACTCGAGCAAGAAAAGGGGGGGGGCCGCGGATCTCTGCCCGATTCTGTCTCTATGCCGCGAAAGGCACTACCACCACCACCGTGCTTGGCCAGGGCCATCCCAGGCCCTACGATAGCGTATAAGCTTAGAGAGCCCAGGATTCTCTAGGGTTGCCCCCAAAACGAGGAAAGAGAGAGAGCGAGAGAGAGAGGGAGAGAAGCCGTGCACGTCAGAGGTGCATTGGCAGAGCATGGAGAGACACGCTCCACCGCCAATGGCGCGGTCGATCAGTGAGACCGGACACACTACCACATCGACAACGACAGCGAAAACGACGACAACCCGTCCGAAACCTTCCCGATACCCTCCGAAAAGTTGCCCAGACCTTCGCAGGGTTCGGGCGTTTTGAAGGATTATCCCGGCAAAGCAACCTAACAGCGATGTGTAGAAGCATATCTGAAAGCATTCCCCTTAAGATTCAGATGAAAATCCAGTTGTAGAATTCTGCTGTTCTCGCAGTCGTAGTCGCATTCGCGATGACAGTCGCAGCGGCAACGGCAGTCGCAGTCACAGCCTCAGCCTCAGCCTGCCTCAGCCTCAGCCTCAGCCTGCCTCAGCCTCAGCCTGCCTCAGCCTCAGCCTCAGCCTGCTTCAGCCTCAGCCTCAGCCTGCCTTCAGCCTCGGCCTCAGCCTCAGCCTGCCTCAGCCTCAGCCTGCATCAGCCTCAGCCTCAGCCTCAGCCTGCCTCAGCCTCAGCCTCAGCCTGCCTCAGCCTCAGCCTGCCTCAGCCTCAGCCTCAGCCTGCTTCAGCCTCAGCCTCAGTCTGCCTTCAGCCTCGGCCTCAGCCTCAGCCTGCCTCAGCCTCAGCCTGCCTCAGCCTGCCTCAGCAGCCTCAGCCTGCCTCAGCCGCCTCAGCATCAGCCTGCCTCAGCATTCAAAATGTGGCCCAGGAACGGAGTTCTGGGAGCTAGAAGAACACGAAGTGGCCTACAGTTGGCTCCGGGCATTCAAAATGTGGCCCGGGAATTGAGTTCTGGGAACTTGAAGAGCACGAAGTGGCCTACAGTTGGCTCCGGGCATTCAAAATGTGGCCCGGGAATGGAGTTCTGGGAAGTCGAAGAGCACGAAGTGGCCTACAGTTGGCTCCGGGTATCCAAAATGTGGCCCGGGAATGGAATTCTGGGAAGTCGAAGAGCACGAAGTGGCCTACAGTTGGCTCCGGGCATTCAAAATGTGGCCCGGGAATGGAGTTCTGGGAAGTCGAAGAGCACGAAGTGGCCTACAGTTGGCTCCGGGCATCCAAAATGTGGCCCGGGAATGGAGTTCTGGGAAGTCGAAGAGCACGAAGTGGCCTACAGTTGGCTCCGGGCATTCAGAATGTGGCCCGGGAATGGAGTTCTGGGAGGTCGAAGAGCACGAAGTGTGTGACTGTTTTCGAAAAACGAGTGCGGCGGCAGCCGCGGCGGCAGCCGTTCTGGGTCCCGCCCGGACCCCCCTGAGGAGTCATGATGCTCTCTTTTGAGACCACTAGAAACCTATCAGCAAGAGCTGTTAGGTAAAAACCAATCCTTAGCGAACCCTGGACGTTCTAAGTGAATGCGCTTCTGGCCTTAGCCAGGAGCGCGATTACATCACGCTGTGGTTTCATGATGGCCATGGCCAAGCACGGTGGTGGGGTACACTTGAGACTGGACAGGTGCCTTCTGCGGAGGCCTCTTGAGACCCGCTCTGCAGAGACCTCCAGAAGTTTTGGAGGCTTCCGGGGGGGCCTCTGAAGCGTTCGAGAATTGTTTTAACGCTTTTCGAAGACATTTTCTCATGGGCGAAACACACATGGCTGTTCGAAAGCCCTTCCAGGACCCTTTCTCACGAGCGAAAAATAGATGGCTGCCCGAAGGCCCGAAGATCCTTCCTCATGGGCGAAACAGATTGCTGCTTGAAGGCTATTCGAAGACCATTCCTCACGAGCGAAAAGCATATCTGTATTCGCTGCCTCGCGGGCTGGGCCCCTGGGCTGCGAACCCGCGGATGCGGAGCGTTTTTCGCGGACGCCTCGCGCGGAACGTATCCGTGCAACCGCGTATCCGCGGGATCGCGCCTTGGAATCCAGACCGCGATGGCGCGGATACGGATACGTTCGCCGCTCGTCATTTTCTGCGTTTTTGTGTTGCATTCGTCCCGTTCCTCCGACCACGTCGATGCACCGTGGAACGCTCGTCGGCGGCCACCCGCCGGCAGGCGCCCAGGCAGCGGCCAGAGGACTTCGTGGACTCACCCAATTTGGCGGCGGAGCCGCGGCCCGCGCCATCTCTGCTCACGGCGGCAGGGTTCATTCGATTCCTCCGACTCGATTCGGCTTTGATCGATTCCGATTCCGGTTCGGTTGGACCTCGGATTCCGATTTGGATTGCGGTTTCTCAATGGATGCTTTATTAGCCCGCCGATTTCCGCCGATTAGACTTCTCCCGACTTGGCTGCCGATGTCCGCCGATCCGATTAATTTCGATCGCCGATCCGACTTAATGATTCGAATTTAGGCTCTCTTGCGGTGGTGCAGGCTCAGGCGGCCCTCGCCGAGCCCTGGGATCGTCAGAAAATAATTCAGGATGAAGACGGCTCTGGGGAAAGTGTCGGGAATGCTGGGGTCCCCAAATTGACAAAAACAAGACATCGGACCTCTGATCTCTGGGGGGGGGGCACCAGATGGGGACGGGGACCGCGAGCGAAGAGGGTTGGATTCACCAGGAGTCAGAGGATCGCGCGGAGGACGCCGAGGAAGAGACGGCGGACGACGCGAAGGGAGGAGGGACGCCAGCGGAAGACGCGGAGGGAGGAAGCACGCCCGCAGCGGGGGTCGTGGAGGAGGGGGCCGGGGACGAACGGCATCTGAGTGACGACACGTGCGAGGGCGACGAGCCCTTGGAGCCGTCGCCGAAGACCCACGTCCCCCCGGGCGCGCCAGAGGACGAGCGAGGGAAAACGCAAGAGGACGAGCCACGGGAGGTGCCAGTGGACGCGAGAGTGGACGTGCCAGGGGGTGTGTCAGGGCACGTCATGCCAGGGGACGCACCAGTGGACGTGGCAAGGGAGGGCTCTCGCGCGGGACTTCCGCGGCGCATACGCCCACGATTTTGACATTTTGCAACGCTTAATCGGATGGAGGTCAAGTGGAGGGACGATCCTTTACAACGGGCTCTCTCGTCTAACTGGCAGACCGACCAGCCGCTCGCTATTCAAGGGGGGCGCTCACAGTGAAAGGAAAATCTGTATGGATTTAAGATCGAGGGAAGGACTTGGGACAGGAGGGTGTATTGCAGCATCGGTTCATGCATCTTGGGTGGGTTTACTCTGGCCATTTTCCTCCGCCTCCTCTCTTCACCCCATCATCCCTCCTCCACTTCCTCCTCCGGGGCACCCCCCGGCGGTTGGAGGCTGACCATCCCCAAGGATTGGCAAAGGTGGGCTCATCACGGCTAACACCCCCTCCCTTGGGAATCCCAGCCCGTTGTGGTTCACCTCCCCTCTGAGGTCGCAGGCCGGTGGTTCATCCGGCGCCGTATGTGCGCCGAGGGCGAACGTCTACCGTTTGTGGTGTTGATGGTTTTTGGAGCCTCACGCGTGTCCTGCGAACATGTTTCGTTTGTTTTGTTGATGGCTTCTGGAGCTTCATGTGTGTTTTGCGAGCGTTTGCAGTTTTGCGTGTGTGCCCTCTGGAGCCTCACTTGGTTGTTCAATGTCATTCCCCTCGACTTCGTGTGTGTGTGCCTGAGGGGAGGATGAGCCCACTGGAAGGGCGGTTTCGACCTCGGGCCCAAATGGACTCGGCGCTCACCCGGCAGAACGTGCTTGACCCTTCCTTCGTGGACAGCCGAACCGAACCGAATCTCTTCCTACTTTTCCCCCTCTTCCCTCATCCCGCCCCGCCCTGGGGGCCACTTAGAGCCATACCTGGGCTCTGGGGGGGGGCCCTTTGGGAGGCTGTGGGGCTCTCTTCTCTCGGGGCTCGCTTGGGACTCGTTGGGGTGTCCTGGGTGCCTCCCTTGGGCCGCGCGGAAGGAGAATCAGCACGAAAAAGGACAATTCAAGTGCCGCTTTGGGCTGGGCCCTCCTGGGGTCCCACGGGGCCCCTTAGGACCTGCAGGGGCGCTCTTCTGGCCATGTGGAGGCCCCAGATGCGGACCGAGCACCGAAAAGGGCGAGAGGGCAAACACCAGCTCGAGCTCGTTCTCGAAGCACAGCTCGAGCTCTTTCCCGAGACAGTCCTTGCACTTAGAGGCGATTGCCAATTTCCCCAATCAGGGCTGGCATTTCGAGGGTGTTGCTTCGCTCTCTTGGGTAATTGGACGGGTCCGCCAAGGTCTTGAGCCTGGACCATGGTTCCGCCCGTGGGCACTAGTGGGCGCTCCGTGCGCTGGCTGGGTCCTCCGAAGTTTCGCGTGGTGCCTTTCCGTGGGCGCTCGAGGGCGCCCCATGCCTTGGGTGGGCAACATGGGTTGCACAACGGAGCGCACACCATTCGGTTTACACCGCGCAACCTGCAAAACATAGCTCACACCACATTGGTCACACCGCATAGCTTACGCAACGTAGCTCGCACCACATAGCTCGCACAACATAGCTGACACCACATAGCTCACACCACATAGCTTTCACATGTCATAGCTGGCACCACATAGCTTACTCCGCACAGAGTTCACCTCCAGTGTGCTACCACTCACTGGTCGGGGCCCACGCTGGCTGACATATGCTTCAATAGTTGGATCCGCCGAGGTTTCGCCCAACGGCCGCCCGTGGGCGCCTCGTGGCCGCCACGTGCGCTGCCTGGGTCCGCTGAGGTGTTCGCATAGTGGCCGCCCGTGAGCGCCTAGTGGGCGCCCATGGGCGCTGGCCGAGTCAGCCGAGGGTTCGCCTGGTGCCCGCCCGTGGGCGCCCACGTGGGGCCATTGGTTGGTAGATTGCACTATAGCGTGCACCGCTTGCGCCGCAGAACTTGCACCACATTGACCGCACCACATCGTGTGCAACACACAGCTCGCACCACGCGTCTTACAGCACAACTAGTGCATCACGTACTGTACGCATCCAGCGTGCAATAACACTATGTTGGGCCCCCGTTGCTAGTGATGCTTGGGTTGGCCAATCGGATGCATTGCGGTGGGGGAAGCCGAGGCATGAGAAGGAGGAGGAAGAAGCAGAAGAAGACGCGGAGAGCAAGGAGGAGGAGGAGGAGGATGGAGAGGAGGCCTCCCCGTGCACGGGGAAGTCGGAACGCGGTGGAGTGTGACATTGGCTTATGGTGCGCTTACCTTACGAGGCTGGAATGGCCTCCCAACGGAAGGAGGGTTACAAGGAGGAGCGGGAGGACGACGACGAGGGCGTGGAGAGCCCAGCAGAGTTGCGCAATGGTCGTCATGGACCATGTGGCCGCGAGTATGCGCGGCAATGGTCTGAACGTTTGATATGGACTGCTTCCGCGGGGGAAGCGGGGCGCAGAGAAAGGAGTGCGAAAAGAGGCTTCGAAGGGCGCAGAGAGGGTAGAGGTGGTGGAGGAGGAGGAGGAGGAGCAGGGTGCGGCCAGCGGGCCTGCTTATTGTGGCCAGCGAGCCCCAGGGCCCCGACGGCCCAGAGCGCACGCCCCTCGAGCCCGAGGACCTGTCCGCCATGCTCTTCGTGCTGGTTGTGTGCGTGACGTACGCCACGGTCCCCCCCCCCCCCTGGTAGCGCGCGCGGAGGGCGGGAGCGAGCTGGCACGGCGCGCGCCCTCGGCGGCCCTCGGGTCGATCAGGCCCGTTGTCTCTCTCTCTCTCTCTCTTGGTATGTGGTGTCTCTCTCGCTCTCTCTGTCCCTCTCTCTCTCTCTATCGCTCTCTTTGTTTTTCGCTCTCTCTCTCTCTCTCTGCCCCTCCTCTCTTTATGTATAAGTGTTCACGCTTCGCGTATCCCCACCAGCCCATTCAGAAGCCCTGCCCACGAGAGCTGACGGGAAAAGGGACGAAGGGACACATCCAGGGAGTTAGCTACTCTTTTGGCGGAGGGCGTCTGGCTTCGTCGGTCGCTGACGCTTGACGCGCTTAATTGCGCTCACACCGCGAGGATGTGTAGTGAGGTTGTTTGTTTTCTTCTTTGTTTCCAGGGTCGACGCTGTCCTTCATGGGTGCCCTGACGGCCGTTTGCACCAGGAGTGGCGTTCTAGGTATAGGGCGGTCGTCGCATTCTGCAGACCGAGCTTACAGCTTCGAATGACATGCGAGGCTCCGTTGCTTGGATGCGTGCGATTGCGCTGAACACATGCTCCAACTGCCTGCCTCCTGCCGTTGCCCTTGCCCCGGCCTCATGCATTATTCATGTATGGTATTTTGTCCCTCTACATATCTCTCAGGGTGTGTTCGGTCAAAGCGGGCGGGGGCTATGACGAGGTCGAAACGACGACGAGGACGAACACGCGTACCAGGAAATGGAAGCGGACGAGGACGATCAGGAGGGCGAGGGCGAAGGGGAGGATGATGAGGATGTTTGGGGTAACGAGGGAGGACGATGAGTAGGACTGGAAGGAGGACGAGGACGAACAGGAGGGCGATGGCGAAGGGGAGGACGATAAGAATGACTTGGAGAACGAGGGAGAGGGGGATCATCAGGAGGAGGGGGGAGGAGAGGGAGTAGGCCAAGGACGAAGACGAGGACTAGGACAACGATGGGGACGAGGCGGAGGAGGACGACGACGAAACGCTGCCCATTAGAGCTTACGGGAAACAAGGGGGCGAGACGCATATAGTGAAAGTCAGCGGGCAACCACAGGGTAAATTGAGAGACCTCTTGAAAAAAGCTGTGACAGTGGACGGCACCTTCGGGCAACTCTGCAGCCCCTTTCTGGGGGTGACGGGAGGAGGACGACGACGACGAGGAGGAGGGGGAGGGGGAGGAGGGGGAAGAGAAGGAGGAGGAGGATTAACTTTTTTGTGGGGGGTGGGGTCCTGAGGTCCGCTTGGGGGGGGGGGGGCATCTCAGGACCCTCTTAGGGCTTCTTGAAGGGTCTTGGGGTCCTCTTGGGGCTCTTTTGGTGTGTTTTGGCGCCCCCTGGGGCTCTTCTTGGGCGCTCTTGGGGTTCTCTGGGGCAAAGAGGGGGCAAGGAGGATGAGGTGGAAAAGGAGGAGGAGGAGGAGGAGGAGGAGGAGGAGGAGGGGGATGAGGAAGAAGAGGGGGGTGACGAAGAACGCTCCCACGAGAGCTGACGGGAAACGGGAGGATGAGACGCATACAGTGAAGCGCAGTGGGCCACCAGATGGTAAATTCTAGACGCTTCGCGTTCACTTGGCAGTTCTCTGCGTGCTGCCATTCCGTACAGGCGTTCGATGTCGACCTTGCCCATCGTATTCTTGGTTGGCAGCATCAGGCGTGTGGCCGATCCGTTCAGGATTTTGGTGTCGATCCCTTCCACCGTCTTCCTGGCTGGCTCTTCCTTCTCGTTCTCGTGGAGGGGATTGCCACGGATCTTTTCTCTCAGGAATGGGTGCGCGACTTCGGTGGCGCCACTCGTATTGGTTCCTTGTCAGTGACGTATTCCTGGCCATCGGTGTTCGAATTACCTCCTGGAACGTATTGCAAGCGAGCTGCCCCCTTCAGGGTTTGGGTGCATGGATGTCTCGCGTGGTTGATTATACGTCTAGTCCTCGCTCTCAGCGGTCACTTGTCAGCATCGCTGTCGGTGATCCTGCCGCGCCATTTTGGCTGCGCACAGCTCCTTGGTTCAATTCGTGCATCGGCACTGCCCCCGGATCCTGATCCTGGTTGCAGTTTACATCGCCCGCCGGAAGGCTTCGGGTTCTGCTCCGCTTCCTGGCACCACCTCGCGCCGCCCGGCAGCTTAGGCAGCTTGGGCAGTTCAGGCAAGTTAGGTTCGGCCGTCGGTCCCCGTGCGCTAGGCAATGAGGCTCGCGCGTAGCCCTCCCGACCTCCGACGCTGCCGGCGCGCTCGCCTACGGCCGCAACGGAAAAAAACATCCCCACCAGCCCATCCAGAAAACGATGTCCAGGCGAGTTGAGAGGTGATCAGGGAAGTGCGGGAGCAAAGAGGGGGACGGCCGAACCACGTGAAGGAGAGAGGGGGCGAAGGAGACAATTGGATGGATGGATGAGGGAGTAGGAGGAGGAGGATGAATAGGAGGAGGAGGAGGAGGAGGAGGAGGAGGAGGAAAAGGAGGAGGAGGAGGAGGAGGAGGAGGAGGGGGAGGAAGAGGATGAGAAGGGGTAGGAGGAGGAAGGAGGAGGAGGAGGAGAGCAAGGAAAAGGGCCAGAGGTCTCTTGGATGCTTCTCGGAGCCTCTTGTGGTATCTTTTGGGCGTATTGGGACGTTTTGGGGGTCTCTTGGCGGTCGTGGGGGGCTCTTCGGCGTTTTGGGTGTTTCGGGGGGGGCCTTTTGGGCCAGCCTGGGATCTTTTTGGGTGCCTCATGGGGGCCTTTTGGGGGCCTCTTTGGGCCGTTTTGAAACAATTTTGGGACCTCTTGGGGCCTCCTGGGCGCTTCTTGGGGCCATCTTGGAGGAGACCGATCAAACAAGAGGGGAGCTCTAATTTGCCCCCCATCCACAAGAGGCCCAAATGGGGCCAGCAACTTAGTAAAACCAATGATGTTCGTTTACTCGCCGAGGCCGTTTTGGACGTTCCGGGACATCGCGGAACCCCCTCTCCACGTCCAAGGGAGGGGGTTAGTGGGAAGGGTAAACCCTTCCCCGAATGGGAAGAAGGAGGGGTGGAAGAGGAGATTCCCCAAACCACCGGCGCCCAGACGGCTGGCGGGATAGAGAGACCTTTGGGAACAAGGCGGTGGCAGTGGAAGGCCCGTTCGGGCGTCTCTGGAACCTTCATTGGGGCGACGGGAGGAAGATGACGAGGAGGGCGTGGAAGAGGAGGAGGAAGAGGAGGAGGAGGAGGAATGGCTGATTGGGGGGTCCTGGGGTCGTCTAAGGGGGATATACTGGGGCATAGTGGGGCTCTCTTCAGGCTCTTTCGCGCGGGGCGGAAACTTGCCGGGAGAAGCAGAGACAGCCCGAGGCCCCAGCAGGGCCGGGCGCCCGGGCCAGGAGGAGGATACGCTGGAGGCAGAACAAGAAGAACTACACAGATGGGACAGCACGCGACCTTGGATCGGCCGACCGGGTGCATCCATCGAGCCATTCCGATGCCGACCGAACTCGGAAGGTGCTCGGCGATCCACTCGCGAAGGCTCGGGCATCGCGGGGCCGCCTCCCTTGGCAGACGCGGCCAGCGCCGCGCCTGGGCTTTCAGCGGCAGACAGGATACAGAAAGGCTTAGCGGCAGCTGTTTGGCCCACCAAGCCATTAGACCAGCGCGTTTGCACGTGGACACACAAAGATCGCCGTCACCGCGCCCGGGGAGTTTCGTTGCATTCGGACGACTTCTCGGTCACCAAAGCGGGCATCCAGGTACTTCGTTACGTTCTGTTTCGGCAAACGCCTTCGGGCGAACACGCTGGGGAGATGCTTCGGCGCACCTGCCAAACTTGCGCCGCCCCGCTGGTCGAGCAGCGCGGTGGGCACAGGCAGCGAGACATATCGTCGCTCCCCTTGCCCAACGCGGGTCGGCGCTTCGACGAGCTGCTCAAGTACCTCCAGGATCCGAGCATCCTCGCAAATTTGTTACATGGCCAGCGCGGGGAGATGGATAATTTCCGTTCCTGCGAGCGCAGGGCCCCGGCGCCCAGCTGGATGCCATTGGCATGATGATGGAGCAGGCGGCGGTGCGGCCGTGCACCGGCGACGGCGCAGGCGCTAGCGTACCCGCGCTGTAACTGGACGAGCCCAACCGCGAGTTCAGCGCGCACTGCGGCGAGCAGTTGGTCTTCGTTCAGGCCGAACCGAGAGTGCCGCCTCGCGCCAGATGTGGAAAGCTGAGGGCGACCAGTTTCTGCGACTCCGAGGTCCGAGCCGCCCTGGAGGACCCGTCGCGGCACATCACTCCATCACTCCCAAGGGCGAGTGGCCAGCGGCCACGCAGGCCCGCGCCCATTGCGACGACGACGAGTAGGATTAGATATGCAGCGAGATGATATCCAGGGGCATCCTCGCCACCAAAGCCGAGGAGGAGATCCCAGTTGTCGCCCGGCGCCAGCTGGGAACCGGCGCTTTCGGCGCCCCCAAATGGGGGGGCCCGCCGCCGGGCCCCCCGCGCCAGCAGCGTCCCATTGCCAACCTTACTACCGTGAACGCTCTGCAAGCGCTGGTCTGGGCAGACTTGGACCATCTACCTCTCCCAGGTGAGCACAGCCGTGTCATCCTCGCCGAGGGCGAGAAGCTGTTGTTGAGCGGGGAGGACGTAGCTGGTTGTTTCCACGCGTACGCCTTGCCAGCGGCTCGGCAGCGTTGGTTCGCATTTTCCAAGCCCCGGCGCGTCTTCGACGAGTAGGGCGACGTCGTGCACGCCGATTTCGTCACCATCGGGTCGCCCCCATGGGCTGGCTGTCTGCCGCGGGCGCGGCGCGGCGCATCCACGGGCGGGTCGCCACTGACGGGCTCTGGGAGTCCGCGCAGTTGGCCGAGGATCGCGAGTGCCGGCGCGATGCGCCGTTCCCGTCGCTTGACCAGCCCCGCGGCGAACGGCGGCGGCGGTCGGTCTACGTAGACAACAGCGACGTCGCGGAGGTGGTTCCTATTGATGTCGCCGATGAGGTCATCGGCACCATGGGCAA